TCATGGATTTATCTAAGGAAGAAGCAAAGTAACATAATTTTAAATTTTAATTGTCCTGATAAATAGATTTCAAGTGCTGACACCACATTCATAAAAGTAAAATAGGCATTTGAGATAAATGTATATAATTTGTTACCTTTCTCAAATTTAGATCTTATTCATTTTTGGACATAGCCCTGTTTCTCCCCTTTCTGTTTAAAAAATCATATTTATTGAGCTATAATTTACATACAATGAAGTGCAATATTTTTAGACTACAGTTCAGTGAGTTTTGGCAACTGTATATGCCCTTGAATGTGTACCATCACCCCAGCTCCCTGCTGCCTCTTTGCAGTCAGTCACAGCCTCCCCCACCACCATCCTGTTTCAAGCAGCTACTGATTTGAAATGATCACTAAAAATTATTCTGGCCTTTTCTAGAAGTTCATACAGTATGTACCCTTTTGCACCCAGCTTCTTTTGCTCAGCATAATGTTTTTGAGATTCATATTTCTTCCCTTTTATTGCTGACTGGTATTGCCCCCATCCCCCAACTTTTAAAATACCATGTCTTCATAACTGTGACTTTGTAATAAAAAAACTTAACCCTCAGGGCAGTTGAGCATTAAAAGTTCTTATAGCTTCTTATGTCTGCAGCTTTGGTTAACTAGCTCAGTTTAGGGAATACTTATGGTGATGCTCATTTTCCACACAGCCTGATGCCTTCTGTCGCCCTCCCCCAGTGCTACCTGCCTTTCATTTTCCCTTCATGCAGTAAGCAACAGTAAGCGGGATGATTACATTGTGTACATCCTAGTGTGAAATGCTGGAAATGGTCTTTTTCCAAATAGAAAAGAGTTGGCCAAGATTTACTGACACTCTATAAATTTCTCTTGATCAAGAGCCTAGTTTGGTGTTGTATAATATAAATTTTACTTTTAACTGTTTCCATAGTAACAATTACAGAGGAAAAAGGTGAGATTTATAGAACCAAGGTGATAGGAGTAGAATATCAGAAATCAAATTCTAATAGATTTTCACTAGGATTTTAAAATATAATAGATTTAATAGCTAGTGTTATTAACCCAGAGACCAAGAACTCCAAGAGGATCCGAGAATGGCATTAAAAATCAAATAAAATCAGGAATGCTGATCAAAACCAGCACTCCCCTACTTCATCCTAGCCTAGTCCCAATTCCAACACTGTGGAGGCACTGACTTTTACTCTTAGTTTTTTTCTTCAGATATTTCTATTTCTTTATTTCTAAGTAAAATGTTTATACTATTTTTCTGTTTTAGATATTACATAAGAACTTCCAGCTGTGGAAGATGAGGACATAGTCCTCCTCCCACTCTTTCCCCCGCCCACCACATCTTTTTTCCTCAACCTCTCTATATAGTTGTATCCTAGTTTTTGGTTAAATAGTGCCTACTCTATTATAACGACATAAATATTTATATCTAGGCAGCATACTATATTTGCTTGTGTAATTTTGTTGTTGTTTTTCTTGGAGTCAGTGGTTGAATAATCCTGTTGCTTTCCATTTGCATTGGTTCACCCCCAACCCCCTTCCCTGGATCCTGGGTTTCTTCCTTTTTACTCTTGTACTGATGGAGCCCATTCTTCACCAGCTTGGTGAGATAGGTGCATGTAAGGTTTATTGTGTGACAACTTGAATCCTGATATGCATTCTGATTCACAGTCATTTGTATGAGTCTTCTTCCCGCTCATCCCCCCACCTTTGAATTCTTGTACAAAATTATCTCCTTATCCCTTGTGTTCTTACATGTCAGAATAATATGCCCTGGCTTGGGTCTTGTTTTTACTTCATTGTCTTGAACACTATGTGTAACTTTCAATCTGAAAACCCATTCTTTTGTTTTTTTATTACTATTATTTTTAAAAGATATTTTTATTGACTTCAGAGAGAAAAGGAGAGTGGGAGAGGGAGAGAGAGATAGAAACATCAATTATGAGAGAGAATAATTAATCAACTACCTCCTGCTCGCCCCACACTGGGGATCGAGCCCACAACCCAGGCATGTGCCCTGACTGGGAATTGAACTGTCACTTCCTGGCTCAGCCACAGCCATGCAGGCTGGGTCTGGACCTTTTATTTTATTGGTACTTTTTTCACTTCATTTTTTTCATCTCCACCTCCACCAACTCCACTTTGACAAGTATTAGATTTCTTAGATCAATCCCCTCATTTTCTTTTATTTTCTTTTTACCTATAGCTTTTTTTAAATGTTTTATTCTTTTGATATTTATTCAAGGATATATTTTCATCTTTGTATTGGATTTTTTCCTATCATATTTTTAATTTTGAAGAATTATTTTTCATTCTGTTCTTTGATATAATATCTTTTCTTGTTTTTCCTAAGAATCCTATATAATAAAAGGCTAATATGCAAATTGACCCTAACAGCAGAACGACTGGGAATGACTGGTCACTATGACACACAATGACCACTGGGGGGCAGACACTCAATACAGGAGCTGCCCCCTGGTGGTCAGTGCGTTCCCACAGGGGGAGCTCTGCTCAGTCACAAGTCAGGCTGACGGCTGCCAGTACAGCAGTGGTGGTGGTGGGAGCCTCTCCTGCCTCCTCAGCAGCGCAAAGGATGTCCAAATGCAGTTTAAGCCTCCCCGCTGCTGGCAAGTGGACATCCCCCAACGGCTCCCGGGCTGCCAGAGGGATGTCTGACTGCCAGCTTAGGCCCAATCCCCCCCGGGGAGTGGGCCTAAGCCAGCAGGTGGTCATCCTCTGAGGGGTCCCAGACTGCGAGAGGGCACAGGCCAGGCTGAGGGACCCCCCCCCACCCCCCCGAGCACACAAATTTTTGTGCACCGGGTCTCCAGTATTAATTATAATTTTTAAAAAACTGTTTCCTGAGTAGTTTGTTCCCCTATTCCCTCCAGTACTTTTTTCTTTTTATTTGTTTTGATTCCCATCTTTCCACGTTGTAGGCTTTCCTTGACTGTCTGGTGATCCTTGGCTAACTATTTATATATAAGAGGGAGGCACGATGAAGCTCAGAGCATGTTATGAGGCATATTGAGTGACACTTGGGCAGTTTCTTTGGTGAAAACTCAAATGTCACTACCTAAAGGTCTTTTCACTGGTTACATTTGCCAGGGAAAAGCCGTAAGTTCCCTGTGTTGGAGCTAAAAGTCAAGCTGAGTGTTACTGGAGGCAACCTTGGAAGGAGGCTGAGGATCCACAAGGGGCCAAGGGTCTTACTGTTGCTTAGATCCACTTTGACTGGATCCTCCTGTTTTCTACCCAGTGCATTTCCATCTAGCATTTCCTGGCCCATCTCCTTTCTTGCCAGCTCCTTCAGATCATAAACCTCCTATTGGGCTACTGTGGGGGGAGGGAATTACCTGTCTATGTGGTTTGATTAGGGTCTAGGGCTCACAATAGTCCTTATAGAAAGTTCTAACCCTGCATTCCTGCCTTCAGTATTTTTGGTGCCTCCTTCTCATGGTTAGCAAACCCCACTCCAGGTTAAGATTTTTCAGATTTCTCTGCTAATTAGTTACCAACCATCCATTGTCTTGCTAGCTTACAAAGTTTTCTGCCATCTCTTACTTGCTTTTCCTTCCTTTCTGTTTTCTTTTCTTGGTCTTTATGTTTAAAAATCCCACTTTTGTGGGATTGCAGGAAGGAGTACAGGTAATTAGGACCATCTTCAACAGATTTTCAAACCGATCTCTGACCCCGCTAGAAGCTAATAATCATTCCATTATGCTTTTTAAGAGAGTACAAAATCTCCTTACTCAGGGCTTTTTTTACATTGGAGAGTTTCATAAAAGTATGACTTAGGTATTATCCAAAAGTTATAGGAAAAGATGGATGCTTTCTCAAGAAATCTTCTAATGTTAGCATTCTATCTTCATGTTTTCCATCTTTCTTGGGAAAATGTTGAAATTTAGCGTTGTAATTACCAGAAGCATAGCGTCGTTATGTGCAACACCATACTAAGTCTTGTAGAAGAAGACAAATTTTCAATTTTCAAAAACACTGTAGATGTTCTAGGGTGATGGAAAGGACCTGCATATTGATGAGCTAGATTATACAGCTGTATCCATTTGCTAAAACTCATCAAATGATACACTGGAGATGTATTCACACATAAATTTCACCTCAAACAAAAACCAAAAACAAATATTAAATTCTAATTTAAATAAAAACACGTGTAAGGAATGTCAAAAGTATATGAAAGTAGTTCTGTGAATTGTGAAAAGTCATTTTTCATTAGAGTAGAAAATGAGAAAGCACCCATCAAGTATGTACATGTGACTACCCGCCCTGCTCCTCTTCGCCGCCTCCTGTTTGTCAGGCCGTGCCTGTGCTGGCCACTAACTGTGCAGATCTACAAGAATGCCAGCCATTGTGTTATTTAATATTTAAAAATCAAAATGCATGGTAAAAAAAAAAATCCTATGTATGTCCCAATTCCTTTTACTTGGAGATTATCTTGGGATGTGTCTACTCTTTTTTTGGAAACTGGTCTTCTCTTCATTTTAGTCAGTTTAGATGAATGCCCAATTTCTTGGTTGTAAACTTTAGCTGAAGTTCTTGGTCTGGAAGGATGGACTAAGTGACCTATCAGCTGAATAGAAGAGATGCAAGAAAGAATGGGGATGAAAGAATAGTGCAGATTCTCATATCAGTCATTCCCTTTTGGATATATTAGCATCAGTATGGTACTTCCTATTTTCAGAGTGCTTTATATCCTAAGTAGTTTTTTTTTTCCAGATGCATTCAAAGGTAGGTTAGGAGTAATTTTGTCATTTTACAGGAGAGAAAATACAGACACAGAGAGGTGGAGATGTACCCAAGTGATTCAGTGTCAGAAACAGAATTAAAAATTTTCAAGCAGAGCGGTCAAGGGGAGTAAGTGAGTGTGTGAGTGAGGAATTGATACTTATAGTAACAAAGAAGAACACTACAGGTATGGGTTTAGACTGGCAAGACTTTGGACTGACCCAAGGTTGGATCTTTTAATTGTAGGTCAAAGAAAATCTGCTTTCATGCAAGATGCTGCTGCACTGCAAACGGGATGAGCTTCGCAAACTGTGGATTGAAGGAATTGAACATAAGCATGTCTTGAACCTGCTGGATGAAATTGAGAATATCAAGCAAGTGCCTCAGAAGCTGGAACAGTGCATGGCCAGCAAGCACTATCTCAGTGCCACCGACATGCTGGTAAGAGAAGCCCGAGCTAATGGCCATTTCTGCTAAGATAGCAAAGCACTTCCTTTTGTTCTCTCTGAATTCTGTGATTCACATAGTACATTACCAACTGCCCTCTTGGGGTTCACGGTTCTTTGCAGGTAAAGCCTGGCTGGTTCTCTTCCTAATTCCAGTGTTTGAAATGGTAGACGATTATTATTTATGTATTGTCTGCCTTTGGAACAGTAGTAAGAAATCAGTACTTTAATCATGTTGGAATAGTAATGAGAGGTGTTTTAGCTTCAGAGGGAGCTAGTTAATGAATCATATTTTAAAGAATGAAATATGCATGAAAGAGACTTAAAGGAGATTTATATACTAGATGTTCCACAAAATCTTTGAAGGAATTTTTACTTTAGGGCTTTGTTTTTTCCCTAAATTGATAAGAAAGACAATAATTTTGGAAGTGCCTTTGTCAAGCAAGAGTAGTCCACAGCCTAGCCTTTAGCCTCTATCTTAGCCCATTCTGCCACATTTTGTATATATATATTGATTTCAGAGAGGAAGGGAGAGGAAGAGAGAGATAGACACATCAATGATGCAATGATGAGAGGGAATCATTGATCAGCTGCCTCCTGCATGCCTCCTACTGGGGATTGAGCCTGCAACCTAGGCATGTGTCCTGATTGGGAATTGAACTGTGATCTCCTGGTTCATAGGTCGACACTCAACCATTGAGCCACACCAGCCGGGCTAGATGGACTATATTTGGATTTTCTTTTCCACAGTAGGTGAAAGTCCCTTGCCTTTGTTTTACCAAATTAGATTGGCTATGATACTGGAAAAATCACTTGAGAGGAATTCGTGGGAGAAACAGGTTAAATCCTCTAAGTGGTTCTAATTCATTCAGACTGTCAAGAAGAATTTTGCTGTAAGTCCTTCATAAGAAGCTTTTAAGGAAATTTTGTAACCTAGAGGTGAGATGTGCCATGATATTCTCTTCTGAAACCTGCTTATGTGATAGACATGAATAGTCAATTGCCACTGGGGAAGGAGGTTAGTAATGGTTTGCCCTTGAGTCCACAGTCCTGGATGACTCTTGGGAGTGCCAAAAGAATTGGCTGTTTTCAGTATCTTGTTTATAGTGACATCTTTCTTAATAATGACTGTAGGGTGACTGACAAAAAAAAAAGTCACCTTTCAGCTTTACTTTTGGTTAATGGATTAGAATGTGTATATGTGCTAAATGATCAAGATTCAGCAATCAGAATAGATAAGCCTGTAGAATATATTTAGTATATACACATGTCTTTGAATCATGATTCTTTCTAGTGGACCTGCTTTTAAATAAGTGCCATATATTAAAAATAGGTAGAATTTATTTCTGTGTTAATTATGTTCTTTTTGGATTTTAGATTTTTATTTTATGGTTTTATTACTTAAGGGCTAATTTATTTACTAAAGAGCTAATCAATGATGAATAGTGGGTTTTTTTGTGTATTTTTTACTTATTTTCTTAAGAATTTCATTAAATACATCTTTAAATTCTTGGTTGCAAGTTACAGAAATCCAATTAGGTAAAAGAATTGCTTGACTCATGTAACCAATCTGTAAGGACAGGCGTACATGTGGAATACCACCTCTGTGTTCTTTAGCATGTCATCTTCATTGTTTTATTGGAGATGTTTCTTCCACTGTGGGTGGGATTTGGGTGTTTGGGGAGAAGGAGGAGTGTAGGCTATAGCCTACATCTCTTCAGGTATGAAGAGGAAAATAATTTTTGTTCCTAATTAAAAAAATACAGGGGTAGGCCAAGGCCAAGTGGCTCAGTTGGTTGGACATAGTCCCATGCACCAAAAGGTTGCTGGTTCGATTCCCAGTCAGGGCACATGCCCAGGTTACTGGCTCGATCCCCAGTAAGGGTTGTGCAGTGTGCAGGAGGCGGCTGATGTTCTGCTCTCACATGGCTGTTTCTCTTTCTCTTTCTTCCTTCTATACATATA